TTTAATATCGAGCTAGGAATTATTATTATGCCGTTTCAGGAATTTTTATTTGTATTTCGAGTCAAAATTAAACGAAATATTGTCAGTTGGTTTTCACATATTTCAAGCAACATAGAATTGAAAGTAAAACCAATTCATGCAATAGTTCTCACAGTTCTACATAATACTCGAGGCTATGATAGCCACATATTCAGCATACATTTTGTAAAGGCGGAGTATCCTATTAAATACATCTAAAATCCTAATTGCTAATGAATAGTTTTGCATCTAACCATGTCGTCTATGCATTTCTGAACGCTGAAATTAACGAGAGTTAAACAAAAAGTGACGGAGGTACGCGACACAGGAAACAAGCCCGGTGTTTATAGCGCGACAAATTAAATTATTTTCCGGCGAGCGACGCGACGCAAAAGATCTGCTAATGAAGATAATTAGGAGCTCAGATGAATTTCGAAAATACTATGGAAATAATGAGAGAGCCCGAAAAAAAAAAAAACGATTTTTCTTCCCGTGTCGCGTATACCTACAGTCGTTATTTTTTTTTCCGGAAGGTGCCGTTCTGGCTCGATATGAGTGCAACTTGACGGAGCTCTAATTACGGGTTTGTTTGATTTTTTTTTAGTTCTTTGTGGTAGTTTGGAATTTTTGGGAAGGTTGGAGCCAAATTAATTGGTAATTAAAAATTTTATATCGGTACCAAAGAGAAAAAGAAAATATAGGTAGGCTTTTTGTAATAATTCAATTGCATCGGAATATTTTCCATATGGAAAATTCATAGTAAAATTGTTTAGTGGACACAGCTAGAATATGCAAAACGTGTGATGGTGTTTTGTAAGACAATAATAAATGAATTATTGTCTCATCAAGAGTAATCTTTCCACCTCTTTTTCAAATGACGCGAACACTAGATTGAAAAAGGTTATTGAAATAAAATAGATTAAAAAGCGTAGCGAATAGGGATTAGTATTTTCATTTTGTGAAAAATATGCTCCATATCCAAAACGAAAAACTTCGCTTCTCGAAATTATCCCAGAATCGTATATGACACGTCGAAAATGGGGTCTCTCTAATTGTGTTCTATGCACGTCACATCGTCCCCCTTCGTAACGAGTGAATCCCTAATACTTAGCAGCAATGCATTCACAATTGCAGTAATGCGATTTGCTGGCGGGCACATCACGACACGATTTTATGAATATCAGTGCAGCAACGTATGGACAGTTGTTGTCGATTTTTGGATGTCCGGCCGTGCCATTTTGATATCGTGACATTTTAAGCCAAAACCGCTTGTATTTTGTACGTAGATATACAGATAAAACTCCCACATCAAAAACAGTCTATTTTTGGAACAGTTTCTTCTTTCATGTTTGGCAGACAAACTTCTTTTCAAAAGTTTTCAACAAAAGAGGCCCCGTCGCGTTTTTATTGTGGAACTACAACGGGAATTTTAAAACGGAGCGTATCAAGAATGTATGAGGAACTGATGGCAATTTAGATAGCTGTATCTGGTATAATTGCAGTTTTTCCTCACCTCAGGTTTTTCTTGCGGCTGTGAAATAGCTCAAAGACTAGGCTTTATCCTTTTGAAAACTTACGCTTTTTTCTATGGGATCGGGAAAAAGGTATCCAGAATCATACTACTACTAAATACAATGCATATCTGGGTTCCATGATATGCGTTAATTTTTCCACACAGAGCACATTCCATGGAATCCAAAATTTATGGAAATTTCAGTCATATGTAGTCGACAAATTGACTTTTCGCATCACCGAATTTGTTTACCATAATTTTCTGCCTAAATTACTACGGGAATGTGAAGTTAGATTTAATGTGTATTTCTCCTATTATATTTGATACAATGCGAACGCCAGATTGATTGATAGATTTGAAAAGGGAGCCGTTACAGGCAGTATGTAGATACGTATGTGGCCCATTGTGCTACTGCCCTCTTGGTGCAGCCCTGTCTTACCTTAGGAGCTTGTAACTTCTAAGAAAGGTCAGGTCAAACATGCCTTATTTCATCAGGTTCCAGAAACCTGTACCCGAGGTATCGTAGTCTGCGACTGACGAGGGCGCCATATTCGCAGCCTATCTTTACTAAGTCCGATTTGGTGCAGGTGATATCTGACTACCCAGTAGTCCATCAGGACGTCTGTGATGGCTCTGGGTTCCACCAGATACCAATCCATAAAGAATCGATCCAGAAAACAGATTTCATCACTCCCGAAGGGCATTTCGAATATTTGAGGATGCCTTTTGGCCTTGCTAATGCGCCTGCCATATTCCAGAGAGCAGTTAACCTTGCTTTCGGAAAATTGAAAGATTCTGTCGCTTTGGTCTACATGGATGACATTTTAATTCCTAGTCATACACTAGAGGAGGACTTAGCCCATTTACGTCTTGTCCTGGAGGTACTTAGTATTGCTGGGCTCGCATTGAATATTCAGAAATGTCGATTTCTTCAGCCTACTTTGGAATATCTTGGTAGGGAAATTTCGGGTGATGATATCAGACCGGAAAAATCGAAGATACAAGGACTGCTGTAGTCCTCGGTACCAGAAATTGTCAAACATCGTCAGTTCATTGGCCTTGCAGGCTATTTCAGGAAGTTTGTGCCTGATTTTGCTAGAAAAACAGCATGTATAACGAAGCGGACCAAACAAAACATGTCATTCCAGTGGAACGAAGAACAGGAGATTGCACGGCGTTATGTCATCGAGCACCTAACATCGAGGCCGTTGGTAACAATTCACAACCCGGAGTTGCCTAACGGAATTGCACACGGATGCAAGCAGTTTGGGTTATGGAGCAATTCTTATCCAGTAACTTGAAGGTCAGTCCAGGGTGGTATCTTATGTCACAAAAGGACTACAGAGTGTAAATCCAAATACCATTCTTACGAGTTGGAAACCTTAGCTATCTAACATTTTCGCACTTACTTGTTTGATGTGAAATTTGTGATAATTATTTCATCAAGGCGACAATGCGCAGAATCGCTCGATTGTGGGTATATTTGCAGGATTTCGATTTTGAGATATTCTACCATGAAGCAAGCAGATTACCCCATGTTGATTAACTTAGTAGGAATCCCATTATCCGGAGAGTCACAAAAAACGTTTGGGCCTATATAGAACAAAAAAGTAGCGAAGAAATACAAAAGCTGATACAACAACTTAGAAATGGCGACCGCGACTCAAATCAGTACGTTAAAAAGGAGGGCATGCTGTATCAGTAGCATTCTTACCCTGAAGAAACAACAAACATACAGTGGTTTATTCCTAGACAGAGTCGCTTGGGTCTCCTTTGAATTTTCCAAGATGAGCAATGTCATATGGACTATCAAAAGACTTAGGATTCGATCTCTGAACACTTGGAAAATCACATTGTACGACCTAGTGAATTTGCCAGTCCCAATTTGCCAGTCCCATCCTATTGGTGAGGAAGAAAAATAGCGCCTACCGTATGTGTGTAGACGTCTGAGAACTCAATCGAATGACTATTAAAGACAGGTATCGTTTGCCACTTATCGAGAACCAGTCGGACAGGTTAGGACAAGGTCGGTATTTCACATCGTTAGATATGGCTTCATGGTTCCACCAGATACCAATCCATGAAGAATCGATCCAGAAAACAGCTTTCATCACTCCCTAACGGAATTTGGAATATTTAAGGATGCCTTTTGGCCTTGCTTATGCGACTGCCGTATTCCAGAGAGCAGTTATGTGCAGACAAGAAAACAAAAACTGGACCACTCCAGGGTTTCATAAATCCAGTGGAAAAGCGAAAAGAACCATTCCTCACTTTGCATATAGATTGCATAGGGCCATTGCCTGTATCCACAGAAGGTTTTAAGCATATACTCGTTATTGTTGACGCATTCACCAAATACTGCCTCTTTGTTACCCCTAAAAACAATTACAACATCTGAAACGTGAATAATTGATGATTTGTTGGAAAATCACATTGTACGACCTAGTGAATCCTCATTTGCCAGTCCCATCCTATTGATGAGAAAAAAATGGGGCCTACCGTATGTGTGTAGACTTCCGAGAATTCAATCGAATGACTATTAAAGACAGGTATCCTTTGCCACTTATCGAGGACCAGTTGGACAGGTTAGGACAAGGTCGGTATTTCACATCGTTAGATATGGCTTCGAGGTTCTACCAGATACCAATCCATGAAGAATCGACCCAGAAAACAGCTTTCATCACGGAATAATTGATGATTTGTTGGAAAATCACATTCTACGACCTAGTGAATCTCCATTTGCCAGTCCCATCCTTTCGGTGATAAAGAAAAATGGCGCCTACCGTATGTGTGTAGACTTCCGAGAACTCAACTAATGACTAATAAAGACAGGTATCGTTAACCACTTATCGAGAACCAGTTAGACAGGTTAGGACAAGGTCGGTATTTCACATCGTCAGATATGGTTTCGGCGTGTCACCTGGTACCAATCCATGAAGAATCGATCCAGAAAACAGCTTTCATCACTCCCGAAGGGTATTTCGAATATTTAAGGATGCCTTTTGGCCTTGCTAATGTGCCTGCCGTTTTCCAGAGAGCAGCACTACTGGTTATTTTCCTATATTTATTTCGAAAGCTGCTGCCGGTCAAAGAGGGATTCAGCTGACAACATGTATCCACCTGACGAGAAGGGATGGTGGTGCGTTTTTACAGGGCTTGCTGATGAGTCAGGCAAAAGGAATTTATGATGGACCCACATTTAAAATAAAAAAAATGCGTCGTCATACTGAAATTCTCTGTGCTCGGGTTCACATGCCGCTCTCATTTTCTTTGTATTTGTTTGATTGAAATTATAATAAACTTTACTTGACTGTATGTGCCGAGTATATATTTTTTCGTTATCATTAATTTCTAACAATACCTTATATACCCGATTGAATTGAATCGAAAGTTTTCTGCTTGACATTGTATTTATTTCTTAATGTCATCGTCATTCCCAAGTATTCTAACATTTTTGTCTCTATTTCAGGATGGCGAAAGAGGTTACCTCGAAGGTCTAGCTTCACGCTACGCCGATCTTTTCTCAACTCATTACGGAGATGTCCTGGGACATCTTGAAGACCTGCGCAAAGCCGACATCGTAGAAACTTTAGTAAAAGAACGACAACAAGTGAACACACCTGAAACCAGTAGTCCGATTTGCAACAACGTCGTGCAAGGCATGACAACGTCGCTTAGCCAACCAATTTATGTTCCTGGGAAATATTTAGTAAGAATTACAATAATAATAATTGTTTTCGCTTATATTTATTTTGCAGCCTTCGAGTTGTTTATCACACAAAGATGAAGATGAAATTTATGGTTTTACTGGTGCCGTTTTTAAACCAACTCAAATTCCACTTCCTCAGCCACCTCAAAGAGTTGTAGGGGCCCATATGACTCAACCTTTATTATCGCAACAGCAGCATAATTATCAAACGTAAGTAAATTTGTTATTTTCTCGAAAAATCTTTTACAAAATGATATTCCAACGTGTGTTTGCCCACGAATCGGAGTGTAACAGCAGCAGCAGCCTGTCGACTTTAACCCGTAACTAAAGTTTTCGGTTATCGGATTCGAGAGTTTTCCCTAAGTTTGTTTACAATGGCTAAAAGTGTTTGGACTGTCGGGATAAAACTATCGAAAAATCAGTTTTCCAAAAACAACGACCATCGAAAATGTTCTTCGACTAGAGTGCTAGGGCATATTGCGGACTTTTGTGTGATGAGGACTCGAGTTTTCTCCCCTTTTTTTTTATTTGCGATAGAGAAACTTGTGCAGAACTGACAGCAAGTTTTACTGGAGCATTGGTAAAAGGTTTTGATGTTTGCTTTGGGATGTTTAATTTAGAGTCAAACATTTGTATGAACTTTCAATTTAGTCCGAACAATCTATTGCGAGCTAATCAAGAAAAAAGTGCTTGAATAGCATGGTTCGGATAAGTAAGTTATTCTAGGTTTTTGTTTCAAATAAGTTCTAAAACCCCCTTACTGACACAAAAGGGTTAACTAGACATTTAGAGAGGATTTTAATCAAGACATTTTTCTTTTTTAAATTTTGAAGGTGAATATTTATTTGTGAGCTTTGTTGTCGAAATCCTAGAGACTGCTGTTCATTACCTTACTTGAGGCTAATTGCCTCTCTACAGAGATTTTTCATGCCTTTAGTCAAACCAGGTTTAATTCACAAACAACAAGGTCTCGTTTACAGTTTTTCAGATAGTTTTATCCATGAATAACTTTCCATGTTAGTTTAAAATCCGGGGCGCAAATTTAAGAAAAATAAAATAAAATATAAACGTCCCGAACAGAAATTGAAACTAATAAAATCAAATCGGATTTCTCTATAAAAGCAAATTACGCTGTTTTTCATTCCGGATTTATGTTGTGGCATTATTCGAAATTGCTTATTTCAAAGTGGCTTTGGGGAAACTTTATTTGTTTCAAATATTTAAATTTCTTCTAGAAATTATAAAGGGAAATTTATGTCTGCGTTCGGAGCAATGAAAAATGTTGTAAACGACCGGAATATTTTTAGATAATAATATTTTTCCATTTTATTTTTAGGTGCTTGAGTCCCAGATCGGCTTACTTCTACGAATTTCCACCGAACGGTAAGCATTTTAAATAATTCATAAAGCATATGATTTACAAAACCACCCAACACACTGTTCGAGAATATATAAATATTTCCGCACTAGACAAAAATTCGTGCTCCGATTTATCGTCCGAAAATATTTGTTTAGGGCCACAATACACGGAGTTGTATGGAAATAGGGACGACGTTAAAATTCTTTTCGACGGTAAACAGATATCTTTTCGGGAGTTTTATTAGGTTGATTTTCCAGTGTTTTTATAGTGTAGATAGAGGCTCAAAAGAAAAATGGAACAGATTTTAGACATACATTTTTTTCAATCGCTTAGGGGTCGATTTTAGGGATTCTGACAGGGATTCTAAGATTCTAATGCAAGACTTGGGTCCACTTAGATTAAAGGGGGAAAACATACAGACTTTGAGCGAGGTCAAGTACCTGGGGGTAACACTGGACTCGAAATTTATCTGGAAAACATTACCATTACTCATCAGTATCTTGACACCGGGAACAGCTTCAAATCTCTTATATACCTACATTTAATTCTTCAACCAGGTCTCTGAATGCTCTATCTCTGGCATCTCTTTTCATATATTCTGGAAACGAGGCATCCCACAAACAAATAAAAGTAAAGATAGTAAGGTCGTTCACCATCACACCGAGCACCGGTCCAACCATCTGCCAGTTGCTAGTAAGTTCATTCACCATCACACCATCAGTGCAATCATCTGCCAGTTCATCTGTCAGTGTCTAACCCAAGTGACGCCATCTATCAATGTTTAACCTACTTTGGGCTACTTCAACTAAACCCAAGTAACGTTATCTGTCAACCTAGCGGGGGCACCTGAGAAAATGTTCCGATACCGTGGGAAAATCTGTAGATCGGCGATGCCTTTGAGGTGAAATTTCGGGGATTTGACCCGGGCCAACCCCAAATATCTGGTGGTTTTTTTTCCGGAATTTGACCGCAGCTCCTTATCTCATGGTGTCATCTTCAAACCGTAGTTATCGTCCATTCGGGGCGTATATTATTCAGGTACCGAAAAATCGGTGTGTTGAATGAAAACGCACACACATACACACACACGTTAAGATAAAATCTCATTTATTAAACCTAATTACATACATTGATTTTCCCTATAATAAGGTAGAACATTCTAGACAATAAAATACCAAAAACTACAACTATGGTAATTATACAAGTATAGATTTAGTAAGTATAGGCATCAGGTCTCGAATCGGAAATATTTTCTGTTGTAGTGGAGTTTATAGTCTGGTTTTTGCAGAATATTCCAATTTTGGCGAGAGTTTCTTGCTGTGGTCCAATACCGACAGTTGTCCATTCCCTACTTGCTAGAATACTTTTATTTTGAAATTCTACTTGCAATTTATACTGGTAGAATTTATTCTGGGATGTTGGAAGTACTGTCTGGAAAGTAGGCGTACGATCGTTGTCTATAAGTCGGTAGTAAAGCGGAATCCATAAATCGAAGAAGAAGGTATGAAGAAGAATTGCACAAAACAAAACAACCTGATGTATTTCTCGTTGAACAAGTATTACGAAAGAAAGGAAAAAGGGGTTTTTGTGAAATGGTTGGGAATTGATAAATCTCATAACAGTTGGATCGATAAAACCAAAGTTGTGGTTTGGAACTAGATTTCCTAGATTGCCTGGCTCATTTGCGATCATGAGCTTATACTGTAAAGTTTGTGATGAAGCCATTTCTTCCGATTCACATTACCTAAGTAATAAACATAAAAGTATGTGCTGTACGGAGTGTGAACCCAATGTTTAGATTATCAATTCGGCTTTCAAAAATTGGATAATTTCCTACACACCGCCATATTGTTGAAATTTGTTATTATTTTTTTTTGGGGTTACCGTTTAAAAACTCTAACATGAAATAAAATAATTCACAAATATTTAATTCACAGTATTCTTCAACTACATTCAGGAAATTGTCTCCATTGACAGTTTTTACATTATAATATTTCAAAAGATTGTCATAAAAAGTTCTAAAATCTAGTTTTGCGAGTAAACTTAACCTGTAATCTATTATGTCTTGAATTTCTAAAAGGTGTTTGATATCATCCATACAAAAACATAAATTAATTTCTCTACTCGATAACTTGATCATTATCTGGTCCAAAAATATGAAGCTTTCCGATGATGAACCACACTACTAACTTCGCCTTCAAGGTCAGTGGATAAGTCCATGAAGGAAGTGACCATTCAATATCACTAAACGATACAGTCACTTGTTCTTCAGGGAGGCTCAAAATTGTACTGGATACTCTTATACTGGATATTAGTCCTTTAGCAATACTTAATCCTGCAACAACTTTGAAAATCTTCATCAAATAGTAAGTATCTCCCAAGAATCTGGATTCTTTCTTGATTTCTTGATCGCTTCTCGAAACCATACTATCAAAATGATCCGAATAAAGTGAGAGGCAAGTTGAGCAACCATCCTTGTCGCCACTGTTGATGAATCTTTAGCTGTTGGCTGCTAGCATAAAACTGGGATATAAGAATTGGGAAATTGCGTTTATAAGTATTACCCCCGCTATTTCATTGGTTTAAACTTGTTTATGTTCACCTCCAGAAATAGAAGTTTTACCAAAGATCACCCGCTATCTTTTTCCTGGAACTCGGCAGCTTTGGTAACTACAACTTGCTTAAAATCGTCAAATAATTTATAGAGATCCGTTATGGGAAAAGCAGTAGAAGAGCGGGAAGTGTATGATTTTATTTCTTGAATTTCTTTTAAAATATAAAGTCCATATAATTCCATGTTTATTTTTGTACTAGAGTTATTAGAAATATTTTTTCCTATCAAATTCACTACTTTCGGTTTCAGTTTTTGTAAATACACTGGTCGGGAGCGCATTAACGTATAATCTATAGGAAATTATCCGATTTTTGAAAGCCGAATTGATAATCTGAACATTGGGTTCACACTCCATACAGCACTTACTTTTATGTTTATTACTTAGGTAATGGGAATGGGATGAAATGGCTTTATCACAAACTTTACAGTGTAAGCTCATGATTGCAAATGAGTCGGGCAATCTAAGAAATCTAGTTTCAAACCACATCTCTGATTTTATCGATCCAACTGTTATGAGATTTATCAAATCCCAACCATTACACAAAAACCTTATTTTCTTTCTTTCGTAATACTTGTTCAACGCGAAATACATCAGGTTGTTTTGTTTTCTGCAATTCTTCTTCTTACCTACTTCTTCGATTTATGGATTCCGCTTTACTACCGCCTTATAGACAACGATCTTACACCTACACTTCCAGCATCCCAGAATAAATTCTACCATTATAAATTGCAAGTAGAATTTTAAAATAAAAGTATTCTAGCAAGCAGGGAATGAACAGCTATCGGTATTGGATCATAGCAAGAAACCCTCGCCAAAATTGGAATCTTCTGCAGAAACCAGACTCTAAACTCCAACACAACTATACCTACTTAATCTATACTAGTATAATAAGCATAGCTGTAGTTTTTGGTATTTTATTGTCTAGAATGTTCTACCTTATTATGGGGAAAATCAATGTGATTAGGTTGAATAAATGAGATTTTATCGTAACGTGTGAATGTGTGCGTGTGTGTGTTTTTATTCAACACACCGATTTCGGTACCTAAATAAGATGCCCCGAATAGACGATAGCTACGGTTTGAAGATGACACCATGAGATAAGGAGCTGCGGTCAAATTCCGGACAAAACCGACAAATATTTGGGGTTGGCCCGATTCAAATCCCCGAAATTTCAGATCAAAGGCGCCGCCGATCTAGAGATTTTCCCACGGTATCGAAAAATCTCCCAGGCTCAGGTGCCCCCACTAGGTTGGAAGATAACGTCACCGGAGTAGGTTAAACATTGATAGATGGCGTCACTTGGGTTAGAACACACTGGCAGATGGTTGCACCGGTGCGATGGTGAATGATCATACTATCAACTGGCAGATGGTTGCACCGGTGCGCGGTGTGATAGTGAACGACCTTATTATCTCTACTAATATAATTCTGGTATTTATTCAGGAACTGAATTATTTCGTTTGATGTCCATCCGAGTTCTGTCATTTTTGTTGAAACACTCCTGTTACTTGAAAAATGCCAACAAATAGCAACTATTCACCAGCAGTGCGTGCACGAGGGTTCACATTACGCGACTGAAACGCTGTTAACAGCATAAATGAATCATCATGACCCCATTTGTATAGATGAAAAGGCTCACAATCTCACAGCAGAAAATCTGCCTCAAGGCTTCTGAAGGAGGTCAAAATTCGTTAGAAGTGGACATTAGAACAGATAACATAGGATCTATGAATGAATGCATTAAAACACATGAACTAGAAAGAAAGCTATCAAGCATTGGAGTATCATAGGCTTAGCAGTTGCGAAACGAGCAGGAAGGAATTAAAAACATGATTTTTATTGCTTTGTGCATGCTGTGTGCTGTATCCCTGCATATTTACCGAAATTGAAAAATTGTTAAAATGGCTTTTTGGAAAGCGTAAGTTTTTGCAAATTCATGGCCACCAAGATCGCCTGATCTTATCTCAGCGAACTTCTGGTTTGTGGGCTGGTGTTAAAAATATGAATAACACTACCAAAAACGTTACACAAATTCTAACAAGAGCATTATTAGGGTGCAAATTGATGCAATTCTGTTGAAGAAAGAAGTTTCCACTAATACATCAGCTAAGAAGTTTCCCTGTACATTTTGATATAATATGATTTATTAAAGTTTTGTAGTTGTACTTGTCAGAATAATATAATATTTCCCATTGTTAAAACGTTCTAAGTTTATACATTAATCTTTACAAATCTTTTACTTCCTACTTCACATCTGTCCTGCGTTTACTTATTGCTTACAAATTCAACCAAAAGTAAGTGTTGAATAATGGGATGTACAATTCAGGAAGAGGTCATATTGAACCTTTGCGGTCTACTTTTTATGAAAATGGGTCAAGATGTATTTCTTACTTTAGAATAACCTTATA